GAAATAATTTCTCAGATTTTTCCTCAGGATTACTCAGCGGCCCCAAGGGTTATTCTTTATTATTCTTCCTGCTGTTTCTGTCATTCTTCAGATTTTCAACCGCCCGAGGATGAAAAAGGTGGGTCATTTTGGCTGTTAGTCGTGCTTTCATTAACATATGCTTTTGATTTTGAATGTTTCTGTCGTGATCATTTTGATTTTTTGTTGACAGCGATTTCTTTGATGCGATGTCTTTGAATTCTTTTTGCTAAATGCCAAGAACACTCCCAGACATTGCCTTGGAGTATGCTGACCCATTTTAAATTAGTTTTGCGTGCTTTCTACGCTTCTTGAGTGGGGTTCCTTTTTCAGTGAGTTACAATTGAAATTTTTAGATCTTACTCTTTCTGTTTCATATTTTCTTCATTAAGGTGTCGTTGTGTTCCTGTTAACTGTTTAGAACACTTTTCGATACTGAATTGGTGACTATACTTCTTTCATACTCTGCATTTCTGTAGTCACGTCCGAAATCTCAGAGAAATGGTTGCTTGGTGTTTTATAATTTTTTACATGATACTCTTTTTCTTTTTAAAAACTTGATGTAATGTTATTCATGTGCTCTTACTGAATGTCAAGAACACTTCTTGAACTTGTATTGAGAAGGGTGTAATGCGTAACCCGCATGCAAATAATTACTGCGTACTGCGCGCTTGGTGAGCACTGTGTGGAGGTCTTGTTCCTCACTTTGTCTTTCTTACATTTTCTTCGATAGGTGTCATTAATGTGCTCTTGTACACTGTCGAGATCGCTCTTCGACCAAATTTTAAAGAGGTATGTTAGGTTTGGACTCGACTCCTCTCAGCATACCGCCCACGTCTCGAGGATTATCTTCAGTGGGGACTTTATATAGATAATTTTATAGATAGCTAAATAGATAGCTAGATAGCTGAAATATAGATAGCCTCCGTTGCTTTTTCTCTCTACTACTATTCTTCAATATGTTGTCATTGCCTTGTTCTTGTATACTGTCAAGATCACTCTATGACACTGTTTTGAAGTAATATGTTCACTTTGAACCGGATTCCCCACAGAGCACCCCGAATGTCCCGCGAACTCTTTCAAAGGTGAATTTAAGTTTGATAGTTTCTGTTGCTACTTCTACCACATTTGATCATTCTGCATTATGCTGTAAAAGCTGTGTTCATGCTAATACCAGGGAAACTCTGCTACCTTGTTTTGAAGCGAAATGTTCCCTTTAAAGCCAGCTTACCTTGTGTACCTTGTAACTCTTCGAGAATAAAATGGGACAGGAACTTTGTATAAAATTTTGCACATCTTATTCTCTTTATTTTGTATAATGTTGATTGCATTATCGCTGTTATGTTGTTGTTTGATAGTAGAAACAATCTTAGACCATGTTACTCGATGCTTGGTGATGTTGTGTTGAAGATAAATGTAGTTGTGGAATTGACTTTTTTGTACACGCTCTTCACTACGGTGTCGTTGATGTGCTCTTCTATAATGTCAAGATCACTCTTGGACTCCGTTTTTTGAGATATGTAATCTTTGAGCTCCGCATTAACTTGTGCGCCTCGCAGTTCCCCAGGAATAAAATCTATGATGAACCTTACTTGAAAGATTGGACGCGAAACAATACTAAGTCAGATCTCATCTAATTGTGTTTCACAATGCTCATTAATATTTTCTACCAACCAATTTTTTCTCTCATACCTTTATCATTTATTCTTTATTGATCAGATTTTATTGGATCGAAATTTTCTACCGATCATAATGGTACGCTGTGCTGTGTATGGGAAAATAATGCATGAGCTACCGCAAAACGTACATCATATGCGCTTCACAGAAATGTATCCTGTTGATGTCATTGGTGTTAGCAGGTCGCATGGCTGTCGCCTCGGGGAGAAAAGTGTGTTTGTCGCCAGCACGTTAATCAGCCGGTAGGTGGAAGGAAATACAGACTACAATCGAAAATGTAAAACATAGGAACGGGCTCATTTTTTTCCTCATTTCCTCATTGCTGAAATGGCAATGGTCTAAAATTCAGTTACCATTTTGATTCTACCGTGAACGGACGCACAGCCTATGTGGCGGATGATAACGTCCCACGAGGCTTGTTATCTGCACTGAACAGAGCTGTGGAAGTGAGAACTTGTATCAAGCTATGATTTTTGAGTGAATTACTGACTACAACCAAGGCACTGCACTCACTGCTCGTCAAAGGAGCAACTTCTTCAACGACGCGCTGAAACCTTACTATTAGACGGATATATGGCCAGTGAAGGAAGACTTGCAGGTGAACAAGTGCGAGTGCAACCTAAAAGGTTGTATTGGCCAAGGAGCGTTTTAAGCTGGTGCTACTTACCGAGTTATCACACAGATCGGAGATGGGTACGTTGTCTGATGGATTGAATTACAAGAAAGGATTCTCGATGTTATGAGATCTTGCAGAGGCATCAGTACGCGCATGGAACTCGAAGGACTGCGGCGACTAATGCGGCGGGTGCAGGCTCAAAGCTTGCAAATTGGGTCATTAACAACCGACCAAAATAGAGCGCCCGAACACACTCATTATCACGACGGTTAGATAGATGTGGCTCGAGAAGTTGAAGACTCATTTGTGAAATGCTATTGGGCACGCAGCCGATTCTGATACTGATGTCCGGGCCAGTTTTAATACATGTCTTATCCATATACAGGACGGGTCTACACGGTGAACATATTTATCATCCTACTTCCACGTATATTTTCAGCTTCGCAGCTTTTTCAGGATATCCTAACGGGTTCCTACACTAACAAGGAAGGTCTTTCATGGCGTGGGGCGCTTTTTGAAAATGGTTCTTTGCGTGGTATAGGGGCATGAGCACTGCGTATAGAACTATGGTCCATTTCTGCAGAAAAAAAAGCGTCCCCGTTAGCTTCGAGGCCTTTCAAAAGTATCTTGATGAAAACCTAGACGGTGGATGACTTCTTAGTAGGTTATGGCTATTGTCCTTTACGCTTAATCTTCATATGTTCCTATTAGTTGTATCCTTCAGTTGCCGTTTTTTTATTGACATCATTCCACAGCATCCTACTTACTATAAAGCGCTTCGTCTGTCTGTCTGTCTGTCTGTCTGTCTGTCTGTCTGTCTGTCTGTCTGT